GGTCCTCTTCACCCCTCCAGTTCTTTTAAAAATATGTGGAGTGGGGCCGGGCGCGATGGCTCAAGCCGGTAATCCCAGCACTTTGGGAGGCCGAGACGGGCGGATCACGAGGTCAGGAGATCGACCTGGCTAACACGGTGAAACACCGTCTCTACTAAAAACTACAAAAAAACTAGCTGGGCGAGGTGGCGGGCGCCTGTAGTCCCAGCTACACGGGAGGCAGAGGCAGGAGAATGGCGTAAACCTGGGAGGCGGAGCTTGCAGTGAGCTGAGGTGCGGCCACTGCGCTCCAGCCGGGGCGACAGAGCAAGACTCCGTCTCAAAAAAAAAAAAAAAAAAAAAGTGTGGAGTATCCACATTGCTTTATCCTGGGACTTTTCTGCTTGCATGTAAGGCTCTCCAGGAAGTCACAAAGCTGCACGATGGCAGGGCTGGAGGAATCAGCCACGTCTCCAGGGCATCCACCTCTTGCATTAGAGGTGTCTTCAACTCTTTAGGTGTCCAGGCTGCCACCAGGTAGCTAACAAAGAACTATCCTGGGTGACTTTTGTCTTTGGTACTCTGTGTTTTCCCTGTTGACATCCTCAGCTCCTACCTCCACAGGTCTTGCACTGTATTCCCTGTGGCTCATGCCCTTGGACACTCACTACAGGGACTTGCTCTCAGCACACTGTTAACTAATTGACAAAAATGCCAGCTATTGGCTGGGCACGGTGGCTCACGCCTGTAATCCTACCAATTTGAGAGGCTGAGGCGGGCAGATCACCTGAGGTCAGGAGTTTGAGACCAGTCTGGCCAACATGGTGAAACACTGTTTCTACTGAAAATACAAAAATTAGCCAGGCGTGGTGGCGGGTGCCTATAACCCCAGCTACTGAGGCAGGAGAATTGCTTGAACCCAGGGCGCTGAGGAATCAGTGAGCCGAGATCGCGCCACTTCACTCCAGCTTGGGCAAAAGAGCGAAACTCTGTCTCAGAAAAAAAATAAATAAATAAAAAAAAAGGCAGTTATTAAAGCTCAAAGTGTGACCTCTTCCAAGAGTGTTGAGGTTTTAAAAGGGCATTCTTAGACCTCAAAAATCTTTCAAAGACACAAAGCTAGACAGTAAAAATTGTTAGCTCTGTGAAAACCATTAGCTCTGTGAAAACCAAAGAGCAAAGCACTTAATAATAGCAATAGTTCTTTCTTACTGTGAACCATGTGTCAGACATCATGCTAAATATTTCACAAACATTAATTCATACAGCAGCCCTATGTGGTAGGTACTGAATCAAGCCCATTTCACAGCTAGAGACGCTGAGGCTGAGTTTGGTAATGGTCAGAGCTTGATTTGAACCCCATGTCGTGCTTATATACCTCCAAAGTCAGGCTTTTTTTACTTCACGATGAACAGTGTTTTTTTTTTTCTGATATCACACACACATACACACACACACACTAAAACATATATATATATAGATATGATTTTTGTAGAGAGAGACAGGGCTCACTCCATTGCTCAGGCTGGATTGCAGTGGTGCAATCATAGCTCACTCTAACCTCAAACTCCTGGGGTCCAGCAGTCCTCCTGCCTTAGCCTCCCAAGCAGCTAGGACTATAACTATGCCCAGTTAATTTTCTTTTTAAGAGACAGGGTCTCACTATGTTGCCCAGGCTGGTGTTGAACTCCTGGGCTCAAGCAATCTTCCAGCCTCAGCCTCCCAAAGTGCTGGGATTACAAGTCTGAGCCACCGTGCCGGGACTCACATGTTAGGTTTTAATGAGGTCTCTTAGTTTGCAGCGAGGATCAAGTCCTCTCTCTTTTTGTACTTTTTTTTTTTTTTTGAGACGGAGTCTCCCACTGTTGCCCAGGCTGGAGTGTAGTGGTGCGATCTCAGCTCACTGCAACCTCCGTCATGCAAGTTCCAGCGATTCTCTTGCCTCAGCCTCCCAAGTAGCTGGGATTACAGGCACATGCCACCATGCCCGACTAATGTTTTGTGTTTTTAGTAGAGACGGGGTTTCACCGTGTTAGCCAGGATTGTCTCCATCTCCTGACCTGGTGATTTGCCCGCCTCGGCCTCCCAAAGTGCTGGGATTACAGTCATGAGCCACCGTGCCTGGCCTCAACTCATTTTACCTCTTACTGATTCAGCCATGTACAAATATTTTGATCACCTGCTATGCACCCATGGTATTCTTGGCACTAGGAATCCTGCTGTGAGCGAAGTTGAGCTCCTGCCTGTGTAGAGCCTGGGCCACATAGGTCTCCCAGCTTTGCTTTGAAGTCACTGTCAAAAGTCCTGACACTGGAGAGTTTCATGTGTCTGATGCTAGGGCAAGATGCCAAATTCCACATTTGCTTCCAACTGGAACAAATGTCAGTTTCCACCAAGCCCCACCCTGTTCAGGTGACTCCTCTTGTGAGTCTTTTCATACCATCTCCCCTTCACCCACAAGTGCCATCAACAGGCAGAGGTGGGGAGCTGGGTTTGGAAGCACTGGTCTGATCCTTAGGCGAACTCCTCTCCCCTGATGTTGCAGGAGAATGGGTGCTCAGATGGAGAATCAGCACTGTTCTCAGGATTGGAAGGTGCTGTGGCTGGGGGTGTCTACATTATATTCTGGGCTGTGAGCTTTTCCAGAATTCTGCTCCACAGGCATATGTCCGTGTGTATGTATTTCTTGGTATAAATTAGATGTCCCTGACTTCTCTAGTCTTGAATGTCTATGTAAAAAGTATCTAGCCCCATCTGAGGATGCTGGAAGTCTAGTCTGTTAGGAGGCCCCTGAATATGTGCTTGTCCCAGTGACCTTCCAGGAGGTGGTGTAACATCTCAGTTCTCTTTTGTTCTGTGTTTCTTGCTCTAGGCTATTGCTCCATTTTTTTGTAGGTCATCTCCTGCCACCTCTTCTCTAGGGTAATGCTGTTTGCATTACACAGTTCCTGGTCTTGGTTTCCCAAGCATCTTAGTTCTGAAGGTGAGATACTGGCTTGTCTGGGACTTGGGGAACAAAGACCAGGTGCCTCCACAAGTGACTCTCCGCAGCCCCCAGCCAGCTGACAACTGCATGAACTGACGGTCTCTTTCTTTCCTTATCTGCATGCTGATTTCCAGGCCTTTGCTCACCCTGAAGGAGCCTCATATGACCCAGTAGTCTCACTCCTAGGCAGCTTTTATGTCTTTTATCATTTTTTCTAAGCTTAAGACACCTTTGGTTGGGCACAGTGGCTCATGCCTGTAATCCCAGCATTTTGGGAGGCCAAGGCGGGTGAATCATCTGAGGTCAGGAGTTTGAGACCAGCCTGACCAACATGGAGAAACCCCCTTTCTACTAAAAATACAAACTTAACTGAGCGTGGTGAGGCAGGAGAATCACTTGAACCCGGGAGGCAGAGGTTGCAGTGAGCTGAGATCCTGCCATTGCACTGTAGCCTGGGCAACAAGAGCAAAACTGTCTCAAACAAAACAAAACAAAAACTCCTTTTCTTTCTTCATTGATTTGCGACCACGTCTGTCCAGAACTTGTGGGACATCTTTGTCTTCATCAGGTTGGCAGATACTCCAGCATGGCCTGCTGGCTACGGAGGCCACCATCCACAGGCTCAATGGCTCCATGGTGGCTCCTTCGGGCTCCCACTTCCAGAGGGAGCCAGACAGCCGCATCTTTGCAGTGGACACCGCCCGCCCCCCAAAGTCTGTTTTTCAATGACAGGCTCTACCTCTGAACCTCAGCTTAGATCCACCTTTCTCTCCCCCCCCACCTCTTTTTTTTTTTTTTTTTTAAAGACAAAGTCTCACTCTGTCACCCAGGCTGGAGTGCCGTGGCGCGATCTCGGCTCACGGGGAACTCCACTTCCCGGGTTCAAGCGATTCTCCTGCCTCAGCCACCCGAGCAGCTGGGAATACAGGCACCTGCCATCACGGCCGGCTAATTTTTGCATTTTTAGTGGAGATGGGTTTCACCATGTTGGCCAGGCTGGTCTCAAACTCCTGACCTCAGGTGATTCACCCACCTCGGCCTCCCAAAGTGCTGGGTTAACAGGCGTGAGCCACCGCGCCCGGCCCGATCTACCTTTCTCTGACAGGATTCCTAGAGACTTAATATTTTTTTTTTTTTTTTTTTTTTTTTTTTTTTTTTTTTTTTTTTTTTTTTTTTGAGACGGTCTCCGCTCCGTCGCCCAGGCTGGAGTGCAGTGGTTACTGTAGCTTCGATCTCCCAGGCTCACGGGATCCTCCCACCTGACGGCCTCCCGGCCTCCCCAGTAGCTGGGAGTACAGGCACGCACCACATCCGCTACTTTTTAATTTTTTTTTTTTTTGAGATGGAGACTGCTCTGTTGCCCAGGCTGGAGTGCAGTGGCGAGATCTCGACTCACGGCAAGCTCCGCCTCCCGGGTTCACGCCATTCTCCTGCCTCAGCTTCCCGAGTAGCTGGGACTATAGGCGCCCTCCACCATGCCCAGCTAATTTTTTGTATTTTCAGTAGAGATGGGGTTTCACTGTGTTAGCCAGGATGGTCTCGATCTCCTGATCTCGTGAACCGCCCGCCTCGGCCTCCTAAAGTGCTGGGATTACAGGCGCGAGCCACCGCGCCCTGCCTTACTTTTTAAATTTTTGGTAGAGTGGGGTGTCATCATGTTGGCCATGCTGGTCTCGAATTCCTGGCCTCAAGCGATCCTCCTGCCTTGGCCTCCCAAAAGCTGGGATTACAGGTGTGAACCACGGCGCCAGTATGAGCCTCAATGTTTGAACCATCAAATTTTACATGTATTGACACACGCCCCGTCTTGTTTTTCTAAATCTCATGTCATCGTTTGTATATTGGTTACCCATAGTTGACTTTGGAGCTGAGGGTGGACAGAGCTAACATCAGGTTGCACACAGGAACCGAGTGAGGTCAAGAAAAAGTAGCGCGAGCTGCCTCGATGGCCCGGGGCGACCTCACTGGCGTTTCCTGTCTGGGACTGCGCCCACGCGGTCACGTGGCCCGGAGGGCGCGCGGCGGCAGCGGCGCGCGCGCACAGAGAGGAGGCTCCTTGCCAGGTGAGCTAGCAGACCGGGGCGCCGGGGCGGTAGGAGGGCGCTGCTCGCTGAGCCGGAGTCGGGCTCCGGTCCTCGCCACGGACTTTGAGAGGGTACCCGGGGTCAGACCTGGCAGGTGGGAACCGGCAGTGGGGAGGATCCAGGGCGGGGGCGGGATGCGCATATTCGTGGAAACGCTGCAGGTTGTGGACAAACTGCCCCAACTGGCTCCTTTTCCCCGAATGCCAATTTAGTGGCCTCGTCTGATAAGAAAAAAATAAGAAATAGATTTCAGAGACCCTATTTCTCTCTCTCTCTCCCTCCCGACCTCCTTTATTTTTTTTCTTTTCTGTTAATTTTGAGCCTTATAAAACTGTAGCGTCAGTATCCTGGTTTGGATCCTGCAACTTAGAAAAAGAACATTAGTGGAAAAAATAATAAAGGCTGTGGTTTAGTTAATAGCATGTACCCATGTTAATTTCTTAATTTTGACAAATTGTACACAAATGTTAACATTAGAGGAATTTGGATAAAAGGTGTACAGGAATTCTTAGTACTATCTTTGCAACTTACTGTACATCTAAAATTATTCTGAAATGAAAAGTTAAGAAACAAAATCCTAAAGCAAAGTGCAGCAGGCCATTGTTCACCAGGGAGGGCTCAAGTTAGTTCCTCTTTGTCAGGGAGTTAGGCATGTTTGACCAACTTGTTTGCTAAGGCAGAGTTGTCAGGCTACTGAGTGTAGATTCTTCTGTCCAAAGGTTTCTGGGCAGGAATCGGTTTTCTCTTTCGATTCTATAAGATATCTTTGGAACACCTGTTGTGCATAAGCAAACGAGACACAAAAAGTCTCTGCACAAGAGAATATACAGTCAGTCTAGGTCAGGTAGGAAGTAAGCACTATTAAAAAGATTCAGTAAAACCTCCCAGAACTGGGACGACTCAGATGTGGAAGAAATCACATCTGGTCCAAAGGAGTCAGGAAGGCTACTGGAGGGAGTGCTGTCCTGAACTGAGGTGGGTCTGAGAGGAGGCAGCATTTCTGGGGTGAAGAATGGCACCAACAGAGGCTTGCAGGTGACCAAGCTGAGCTGAGGGAGGAGCCCTGGGAGCAAGTGCAGTTCCTCTTATGTGGAGGCACAGGGTACATCCAGGGAGTACTGCCAGATGAAACTGGAGCTTTGTTGTAGAACGCAGGGTGACACTTCAGTTGGATACATTATTTTCATTTTTATGTTTTTGAAACGGAGTTTCAACTGGACACAGTGGCTCACGCCTGTAATCCCAGCACTTTGGGAGACCAGTCAGCAGATCTCCTGAGGTCTGGAGTTGAAAATCAGCCTGGCCAACATGGTGAAAACCTGTGTCTACAAAAATACAAAATTTAGCCGGGCGTGGTGGTGGGCGCCTGTTATCTCAGCTACTGAGGAGGCTGAGGTGGGAGAATCGCTTGAACCCGGGAGGTGGAGGTTGCAGCGAGCCGAGATTGCACCATTGAACTCCAGTGTGGGCGACAGACAATGGTGCTATCTCAGCACCAATGTCACCGTTGAACCTCAACCTCCCAGGTTCAAGCGATTCTCCTGCCTCAGCCTTCCAAGTAGCTGGGATTAAAGGCACCCGCCGCCATACCTGGCTAATTTTTGTATTTTTAGTAGAGATGAGGTTTTACCATGTTGGCCAGGCTGGTCACGAACTCCTGACCTCAGGTGATCTGCCCTCCTCAGCCTCCCAAAGTGCTCGAATGACAGGCGTGAGCCACTGTGCCCAGCCTAAATTTTTTTAAAAAAGGAAAACAGGGTGACATTGACTCTAATTATACGTGCCATGGGAGCCATGGAACGTTTTACAGCAAGAGAGAGATGTCATTCGGTTTGTGCTTGGATATTATTGACTTGGCAGCAGTATGTAGGTTGGCTTGAAGTAGACCAATTAGGGAATTATCAGGCTAGCCTTGGGGAATTAAAGACAAGTTCCACCAGGGCAGTGAAATTAATGTGTGAAGAATGACATGGTTTGGGGAGGTTTTTGTGGGTGTAGAAGACCTAGCAACTGAAGGCATGTGAAGAACAAAGAGGAAAAACAATTCCAAAGTTTTGCTCCTGAGTGTTTTGGAGCATGGTTGAGGCATTTGCAGAAATAGAGGACTCAGAGGGAGACCTGGATCGGGGGCTGAGAGGATAGTGAATTTTGTTTTTAGATGGAGTCTTGCTCTGTCGCCCAGGCTGGAGTGCAGTGGTGTGATCTTGGCTCACTGCAACCTCTGCCTTCTTGGTTCAAGCGATTCTCCTGCCTCAGCCTCCCGAGTAGCTGGGACTACAGGTACGCACCACTGTGCCCGGCTAATTTTTGTATTTTTAGTAGAGACGGGGTTTCACTATGTTGGCCAGGCTGGTCTCGAACTCCTGACCTCATGATCCGCCCGCCTCGGCCTCCAGTGTGCTGGGATTACAGGCGTGAGCCACAGTTGCCCGGCCATGAATTTGTTTTTGAACAAGATGTTCTTAGATTGTTGGCGGGATATCCAGTTGGAGATGTGTATTTAACAGTAGTAAGAGAGGAAGCTCTTTTACAAAAGAAGGAAGCTCATTTACAAAAGGGACACGAGAAAGAAAAAGAGCCTGAGGGGACAGATATGAGGCAGTCAGGGAAGGAAGAGGATCAGATCTCTATTTCTTGGGGCTTCAGGAGTCAGGTGGACCTGGACTTAGTGAGTCAGTAGTGTCACAGCTCCTGCAAAGGTGGAGGAGGCTGAAGAATGAGACTTGATCTTGGATTTATCTATGAGGAAGTCACTGGTCATCTTTTAAAGAGTTGTTTTAGTGGAAAAGTGAGATGACTGTTAACAGACTGTAATCTATTCATCCTACAGCCTTTCCCAAGTGGTCAGAGGACTGGACAAAGAGCCAGAAATACTGTTTCTAGTCCCGGCTGTGCTGCTAACTACCATTGTATTTGGGGCAAGTCATGTATGCCTGGACTGGAATAGAAAAAAATACATCTGAGCTGGGCTCGGTGACTCACGCCTGTAATCCCAGCACTTTGGGAGGCCGAGGCAGGTGGATCATCTGAGGTCAGGAATTTGAGACCAGCCTGGCCAACATGGTGAAATACCATCTGTACTAAAAATACGAAAATTAGCTGGGTGTGGTGGTAGGCACCTGTAATCCCAGCTACTCGGGAGGCTGAGGCGGGAGAATCGCTTGAACCCAGGAGGCAGAGGTTGCAGTGAGCCGTGATCACGCCATTGCACTCCATCCTGGGTGATAAGAGCAAAACTGAGTCTCAAAAAAAAAAAAAAAAGACGTTAATCCTGGCTGGGCATTGGGGCTCACACCTGTAATCTCAGCACTTTGGGAGGCTGAGGCAGAAGGATTACTTGAGCCCAGGAGTTCGAGACCAGCCTGGGCAATATAAGGAGACCTCGTCTCTACAAAACATACAAAAATTAGCCTCTGCAAGAACAAAAAAATTAGTCAGGTGTGGTGGCACAGGCCTATAATCCCAGCTACTTGGGAGGCTGAGATGGGAGGATCACTTGAGCCCAGGGGTTGAGGCTGCAGTGAGCTGTGATTGTGCCACTGCACTCTAGCCTGGTCATCAGACTGAGACTCTGTCCATATAAAAATAAAGACTTTAATCCTAAAAGCTGACGCATCTATTTTAGACAGCATATATTGGTTCAAGTTGTCTTTTAAAAGTCAAAGGTAGGCCGGGCACGGTGGCTCACATCTGTAATCCCAGCACTTTGGGAGGCCGAGGTGGGCGGATCATGAGGTCAGATCAAGACCATCCTGGCTAACACGGTGAAACCCCATCTCTGCTAAAAAATACAAAAAATTAGCTGGGCGAGGTGGCGGGCACCTGTAGTCCCAGCTATTCGGGAGGCTAAGGCAGGAGAATGGCGTGAACCCGGGAGGCGGAGCTGGCAGTGAGCCAAGATGGCGCCACTGCACTCCAGCCTGGGCGACAGAGTGAGACTCCCTCTCAAAAAAAAAAAAAAGTCAAAGGTATAAAGTATGAAGGAATCTCCGTGTTTATCTATTCAAGATTACCGTACAGTACAGAATCAGCTGTAGATATTCTTAGATTTCGTGGTACTGTTAAAGAAATACAATATTATAAAAATGTTATATGGAAAAACACTCTAATCCTACTAATTTATTTTCATCTTTTGTTTTTCTTCTAATCTTTGTCCCTAGTACAGACAACTTTGAATTCTGCTTTTTATGTTTTACACTTGTATATGTGAGCATTTATCATGTTGCTGCGTAGTCTATACTACATAGTATTTTTATTCTTATTTTATTTTTTTATTTTTATTTTTTGAGATGGAGTTTCACTCTTGTGGCCCAGGCTGGAGATTATTCTTAAACTATGTTAAATATACTATAACTCTAATACTTATTTAGTTAATTTTGTTTAATTACATAGTATTTTATAAAGTTGTTAAACCAAGATTTAACTATTTCTTTATTGTTCAACATATTTTATTACTTTCTAATTTTGTCCAATTAGAAATTAAATGATAGAGTAAATCGCTGAATGGATTGAACATAAAACAGGCATAAATACAGACTCATTTTAATTTAAAAAATTAAAACAAAAAAAGTCTGGGCGTGGTGGCTCACACCTGTAATCCCAGCACTTTGGCAGGCAGAGGTGAGTGGATTGCCTGAGGTCACGAGTTCAAGACTAACCTGGCTAACGTGGTGAAACCGTGTCTCTACTAAAATACAAAAATTAGCTGAGCATGGTGGTAGGTGCCTATAATCCCCCGTTACCTGGGAGGCTGAGGCATGAGAATTGCTACAATCTGGGAGGCAGAGGTTGCAGTGAACTGAGATTGCACCATTGCACTCCAGCCTGGGTGATACAGTGAGACTCCATCTCAAAAAAAAAAAAGCCCTCAATAAAACCAAAAGGACCCTTTTATTCCTAGCAAAACCTAATAGTCTGGAGAACATGTGTCATGGAGCACACTTTGAAAAATACTGATACAGGCCAGGCGCGGTGGCTCA